TCACAACAAACCCCAGAGGGAATTCTTTATTATCAGACTATGCTAGTAGAGGGAGAATGGCATAGAGCTACATTCTAGTGACAGATCTGGGGCCTCAAGAGTTCAAGTGGTCATGAGACAGCTGTCATCAGGGAGACAGCATAATAAAGTCAACTGAGGATCACAATAACTGGTGTAAGGTGTAAGGTACGTGGCCTTGAGCAAATGTCTTTAATACTGCTTTATTTCAGTTTCCATATTCCAGTTTTTATATTTCCATTCTTTATGGCCTGTAGCAGCATACCTGGCTTCAAGAACAAGCACGCTGAGTTTATGGTAAATATGAGCTCTTTAGAAGCAGCTGAGGCCACTTATCTGGTCAGAACTTTGGTCTTTAAGGTTAGCATTAAGGAAGTGCTAATTTCTAGCTAGACAAGTCCTTTCCACCAGCCCCCGCCCTGAGCTGCCCTAACATGATACCACTGACATTGAGAATGACAATGTGAATATTATCTGGAAACTAACTACAACCCTAATATTATCCAACTGAATCTTTGCCATTTTAAAACAACTGTAACAAGATTACAGGAAATGATAATCTAACTATATTCCACTTGGTCAGATCACATCTGGAGTTCATTGCTCATTGCTGGATTTAAATTTTAAGGGATTCATTAACAAACTGGCGGACATCAGAAGAGGGCAAGCAGGATGGTAAGGGCTCCTTAAATGTTGTCATAGGCAAAGACTGTATAGTGCCTTGCAGTTTTCGAGTACTTTGCCTACGTTTATCCTTCCTACGAATTGGTGAGGTAGGCTACTTTGCACTAGAGAGACATGATTAAAAAAATGTTTCTGTCCTATATCCCCTCCTAAATATTTAAGAATCTGTGGCTTCTCCACAGCACGAGTTGTAGTGTGCATATGTTTGCTACTAAGGGAATTTGGCTTCAGAAGTAACAGGAATAAAAAATAAAAGGTACAGGGAGGCTAATGCTAGGAAGTTAGATGTGTGTAATCAAGCTATAAACAAGCTGCTTCATGAACTTACCAACACCAAGAGAAAACAAGTGACACCTAGATGACCATCTGTCAGAAATTTAGTTAAGTCCACAGTAGTTATTAAGTGCCTACTATATGATAGTCACCAAGTGTCAAGGGAGGAGTCGAAGGTGAATCCATCTTGGTTCTTGTTCTCAAGAAGAGGGTAGAAAAGGGTGATATGTAAACTGATCATGCATCAGTAGAAGCATATACAAGGTACAGAAGTAGTACTGTGAATTTGAAGCATAAAAATTTGTCAGGAAGAGCCTGGGCAAAAGGGCAGTCCAGGCAAAAGGATACACATGGTGTGCTTGGGATCTTCCAGTAGTGGGCATCACTGCAGAACAGTCTCCTTCTCTGGCTATGATGGTAAGACAGACAATTTCTAAAGTCCTTTTGAAAACTCAATTTTTAAATCCTTCAGAAGTCTCTAAGATGTTATCATCTCTAGTAATTCTCTGGGAGGTCTAGCTCAAGTCAACTACTTTAAATAAAATAGTGCCCAGTTCTCTCTAAGTGGTATATTCAAACAACCAGAAAAGATAAGGGATTTTGCAGTGTGTTTGTAAGGTGTGCTATAGTCTTGGAACCCATGTGCTTAAGCAATTCTGAGAAGGAAATCTAGAATTAACATTTGGAAAATGATTAAGAGGATGTTACCTTGCAAATGAAATCCAACTTTCTCTAATGGTTGCTTAAATTCTGGACCCCCAAACGTTTTTGGGAGGGGGGCCTCACCCTAATAATTAAAACTTAAGCCAATTCTGTCACTCTTTGTCCCCTTACCCTGCTTTATTTTCTTCATAGAACTTACTATGTGTTCCTTTGCTGTGTCCCACTGTTATGTAAGCTCCTTGAGGACAGAGAATGTCTGTCTTGTTTACTGCTGTATTCTCAGAGTGTGTAATAGTAACTGGCACATATCAGAGCTTTCATTTCATTCACTGGGTGAATGAATGAGTCTTTAGCTGAGGCAGTCACCCAATGTGAGCACTAGATACTCAGTTGTGACTAGGTTGCACACCCTCTCTACCCAAGCAGGCTTTGCAATTCTGCCCTGCTTTCCCAGTAGTTGAAGTAGGCCTTTATAACTTTTAAGGCACTTGACAAATAAAATGCTACCATGAGTGAAAACAAAAGATCTCTGGAAGATTTACTGAACTCCACAGGTGGCAGGACTAGGGGAAGACTGTGCACTAAGTGCTTATTTGGTTCTTTAGCCCTGCCCCTAGGACCTCTACAGTTGGTCAAACAGAATCAGTTTCTCTCATCTTCAGTGTTCACAAATACTAAATTCATCGTAAAGAGCTTGTGTATGACCTCCATGGAGACAAGAAAGCACAGTAAAATAGTGACAAAAGCTGAAGGATGGTTCTTTCTCATTCCACACCCAATATCTATCAGGAGATACTAAATTCAACCTGTCGGAGGTTGGGGCTACTCCATCCACCAATATGCTTTCACACTCTGGGACATCTGAAAAGGCCGTGAGAGGGCTGAGACTGAGTTGTGCGGACTCTTGGTGAGACGATCTCAAGAGGACTACTGAGAATGGGCACTTTTTCCCCTTTTATCCCACTCTCCATTGTCAGTACTATTAACAACAGCGCTCAGTGTATCTCAAACTGGCCAAACTAGAAACCTTGGAGTCATGTTTGATTTTTCCTTCTCCTTCATTTCTTAAGTCACTGAGCCTACTGAAAATTTCCTTCAATTTGCCTCTCCTTTTTCACTTTTAATACCAAAGGACTACCAATTTATGTCTGGACTACTACAACAGCCTTCTGTGTGGTCTCCAGTCTCTCCCTCCTCTAATCCTTCCTGTTTACTATCACTCTATGAAATTTTAACAACACTCAACTTCATCTGGTGATCCTCAATTAAAAAAAAACCACCACCACCAAAGATACCCAAACACCTCAGTGACTTCACGTTTAATGGATATTCCTCAGCCTGGAGCTCAAGACACTCCACGAGTGACCCCAACTCTTCTAATTGTGTTTTCTTCATTTATTATTGCCACTCCCTCCGTCCCTCAACTTCAGTCAGGTTGGTGTACCACCATCCTCTCAATATACCACCTTCAACCAATCCCCACATTTTGATGACACTGACTCTATATGGGGTAAACATTTAAGGCTATTTAGAGGATTATTAAAATCTTATATATTCTTCAAGATCCAAATGAAGTTTCACCTCATCTAGGTCCTTCCTCTACTCTTGGCTTCTTTCTGCTCTAAACTTCTTCATAGCAGTTTCTTCTTCAAGAAACTCATTGTCTATACCATCCATTTTGCCAGGGTCATATTCTACCTTGAAATTTAACCAAATTCTTTCATGTTTCTATCTTATGTCATATGTACGTCTTATACAAAATAAATAGTACCCTTCTGGAGGTTCCTCAAGGAATTTCCAGCCTCATTTGTTCTTCAATCAAATTATTAACCACTAATTAACTCAACCCACCAAGTATTTTAAAATTTCCTTTGAATATAAGGATGCCCATTCTGTATTAAGGGAAAATAAGACTATCGTCTTGTAGAACCATATAATAATCTTAAGAATTCACTTCTGCATACAAATAACAGTTGAATGCTTGGGAGTAAACAGATGACACAATTTTCTTCCTTGCTTTATTATTTTGTATTTCTGAACTTATGTGTTAAAAGAGTTGTGGCCTATTACCTCCAAATAAGAAGCCAATGAATTAATTTATGAATATTGCAAATAAGAAAATTTAAAATGCTAATAGACACTTCCATGACAATAGTTTAGAATTCATTCAATAATTTTAGACTTAAAAAAATCTCCACATGGATATGTGGACATATCAAAGAGACTATAGTTGGGACCTTCAAAAGTTGTAGCACTAACACCTAAAACAACAGCAGAAGAAGGTTCTGGGATCAGCAGAGCACTCTTTGATGATGACACCTGTCCAAGTACTAAATACAATTACACTGGGCAGATGAGTACATAGTACGAAGTATTAGTGATAGTACAACACTCAGCTTTCTAAGAGTTAAAATGTGTTGCTTACAGGGAGGGAGGTGACACTGAGTAGTTAAGAAGTGCTGGTATAGAGAAGCAAAAGACTAACCTAGTTCATATGATTTATAGAATAGAGAATGTTCTCAGCTAAAGTGCTGGGAAAAAAAAATTGGCCCACAAAGGCAGAATTACAAAAAATGTCAAGATTTACAAATTCCATCATGTTCAAATACAGTAAGTATAAAAACAAATAAACATTTCTTACATATTAAAGAAACAAATTTCCAAAACTAAAGCTTATCTGTTAGCATTTCTTTACCAGTCTGAATTTAATTTTTAAGGCCTTAAAACACACATTCAAGATAAAGACAAATAAAAGTGCCAAAGTTTTAAGAAGCCATGTTAGTTTAGGATGTTATCTATATTTTCTTGGACCAATGTTTTTTTAAGAGGTGGAGATACTGGCACCTTTTTTCTTAAACGTTTACATATCTCACCAACACCACTAGCCTGTGGCAGAGAGCATCTCATATAAAAACACAATGCCATTAAAAAAATAAACAGGTATACTGAAACGGGAAAGAAATTTGGTTTGAATTAATAAATTGTACCCAGAGACTCTCTTATTATCCTTTAGGACAACCAGAGAATCCTTTTAACCTGCACTCTTAACCCAGCAGGTACATATTAATAAAATAACTCTAATTGCCAAGTACTCAATTAAAACATTACTTATAATACTTTCCTAGTTACCTACAAGTTTTTTCTTTTAGCAATTGTCAATTTCTTAAGATGACTTGTTTTATAAGCTCCACGATATTAACATATTCCAATAATAAATTTATTATTCGTACAATTTATTTCACACATAAAACATTATTTCTCTCTATTCTTAAAGAAATTAGAAACTTTCTAAAGAAAGTTCTATTCTTAAAAAGGAAAAGTTCTATTCTTAAAAGGAAGAAGCACTCAATTTTCTTTTGAATTCATTTCTCCAGAAGACCAGTCCTTAAGGACTTCTGGAGTCTAGCTATGTTGGCATCCAATGCTGCAAGGCCATTTCTGAAGTCTTGTTCATCACAAGAAGTGAAAGTTGAAAAAGAAGAGATGCTCCAGTCAGACATCAAATCAGAATTTAAAACACTACCATCAGGGACAGTATTGCTTTTCACTTGAATGCTGTTGCTGTGACAAGTTGACAGGCCATGACATGCAGCTTGTTCCTCTGGATCTTTAGTGGCAGCAGGGATCTTACCAATTGCTTCCTTTATTTTCTTGAGGAGCTGTTTGTCTTTCATATCAGCTGTTCTGGAAAGTGTTTCAGGTGCAACTTCTGCTTCCATTGTTGAGGAACAAACTGTAGGTGCACACAGTTTATTTTCTTTTTCACAGACAAGTCCGCTGCTGCTGATTGGCTGTGTTGTAGCTACACTTATCTGTGGCTGAGGGGATATTCTCTTAGAAAGTGGTGATTTCTTTTTAGGAGTACTTCTAGCAAAAGGAATATAAATTGTATTATCCAAATTATGCTCATCTTCAATTAAAGTCGTAGTTTCACTAGCTTCGTCAGAACCCTGTTTTGAAAGGGTAGAAATAATTCCAGGTATGGAAACTTCCTCCATGCCCCTAGTGTTACTATATTGAGGGCCTCTGGAAGGCAGAACATTTTCATAGGGTCTGTCTGGCTCTATGGTTTCCTCATTTTTAATTGTAGAAAGTGGCTGTGAATGTGTAAAACTGTGATTTGCTTCTAACTTATTTAGGTATCTCATTATGGAAGTGTGAGCAGGGGCTGGGTCCTGTTGAAGTTGTTTATCGTGAATGTTCAGAAGTGATTTGGTAAGGTTATTCCCAGGCTTGCAGCGAGCACTGTCCACACTGAGATCTGAGAGAAGTTTTGCCATACTGTTCTGTAACGTTCTGTTAAGAAGAATTTATTATACTAATTATTTTTTTAACCTGTTTCTTTCATTCATTTATATATACTTTTGTCCTTAAAAACAAGGATTTGAAGGAAGCACTGGTTCTTAACATGAAAACAAATAACTAAAAGCACAAAATCGCAGAATACTCTTTGGCAAGAGTAAATTAAAATAACAAATGATAAAAAAAATCTTGGTTTGTATCAAATATATTATTTTATCTAAAAATAAAGACTCAGAAATTTTTTGTCTTTTAAAGTATGGAGATGCTTTATTCTTGAGCAACACTGCAACATTGAGCCTTACAATGAAAAATCAGCCCCATATAGGTAGGCTAAAATACAAAGGAAAATGTAAAATACACTACTTATTTGCTATGAATTCTGCTAGAAATTAAGTTATTTTCCTCTATTCAATATATATTGAATTACAGAACCATATTAGAAAAAAGGGATGGTTAGAGATAATTATCTGGCATAATTAGGTAACAACAGCTAGGTACCAGAAAAGTGTATAAGGAAAACCACACAGGGTTTGAAGTTAGACAAAAATGGAATCAAATCTTAGTGCCGTCATTAGCTGTGATCTTGGGCAAGTCACTTAACCTTTCTGAATCTCAATTCTTCAATCGTAAATGAAGATAGATACTTCAGAATTACAATGAAGCTTAAAATAATAAGATGTAAGGGTAAAGTGTTTAGTGCAATTTCAGCCTAAATGGGTGTTCACTTGATGGCAGCTTTTATTTGCAGTCCTATTAAAGCCATTTTATACAAAGCCTTTAGTCTATTTAAATTGAATCTTATATGGTCTAACAAATCAATGATAAAAAGATAAGCATACCAATTTAAGCAAAGATACAAAGGACATCAACAGGTAACTAACAAAAAAATACAACTAGCCAATAAGCATGTTTTGAAAGTTCAACTTTTAATCAGGTAATTCAAAATTTAAAAATGTGATTTTTTTTGGTTATCAAATTTATAGTAAAATAAGAACAATATCCATTGTTAGAAAAGCTTGGAGGGGCAGGTACTGTTGGTGGGGTATAAGAGAGAGCAAATTGGCAATACATTTCAGAAGACTTGAAACTTTGTATATCTCACACCCTTTGACCCACCAATTTGCACTTGTACAAATGTGTCCTACACAAAGAGGCTGTACTCAAAGATATATTTACAAAGATATCATCTATAATAGAAAATAACTGGACATATATGTCTTTATCTTCAAAAAAGTGAATTGATTCAGTTAAATTATAGTATAACTGCATCATAGCCACTTATGATGTAAAGAATATGTATTGATAGGGAATGTTCATTATATAAGATTAAATTAAAAAGAGCAGGCCATAAATAATATAGATACGATACTCTTTTTAAAAAATAAATGGTTACACACACAAACATAAAACTAGAAGAAAATCTCTATACTAACAGTTAGAAGTGATTATATTTCTGGATATAGACTGATTTTTCCCTACAAAAGGAAAAACAAATTTTTTCCAACCTGGCTTACATTGTCATCTTAAACACGCCTATCTTGACTTCTGATTGCTCTTCAAATGGCAATGGCTCCTGCCACTTCTCAGACCTCTTTCAAGAAGGTAAAGAGAGTGACATCAGCATAATGGTGGAATAAGGGTTTCCTACCTCCAGTGCCCCTCACAGAAATCTAACTAACAACTATCCAAAGACACGTATGCCTTCGTGAATATCCTAGAACTCAGGAGTGAGGCTGACACCCTCTCAGACCACAGAACTGAGAAAAGTCCCATTAGAAGGGTAAGAGAAACAGTTTCACTCTGATCATGTCACCCCTCCCCTAAGCTGGCACAGCACCACACAGAAGAGGAATATTCCTCTAGGCCAGCAATTTCTATAGTGGGAAAAGAGAGCTGGAGGTGGAAATTTAGCTTCTCTGGCTTTCTGGGATGCTTCACAGGAGGCCCACTTCTATCTTGCCCCAGTTGTTTCAACAGGTATAGAGTACCTGGGGTTAGCCCGAAACATAGACGGGCACAAACACCAGAGCATGGATCTTGGTGATGGCTCTGCATTCAAGCCAATGGAGGAGCCCAATGAGAGAGAACACCCAACAGCATTGCTCTGTAGAAAGCATAGCTAACACATCTGCCAGGGTTGAGTCCCTACCAGCTCCCTCACCCAAGCCTTCAGCAGAGTCTCAGTGCTCTGTGTAAGGCTTCCTCAGGCCCAGAGGCAAGTGAATATCCGCCTATATCTGTGAAGGAGAGCATATGGCCCTTAGAACAGCCTGTAGCAGTTGAGTGATGACCCGGCCCAACCTTATAGCTCTGCAGTCAGCTTCTTGAGGCTGGAAGGCAAACCCACATCTCTGCATAACTGTGGAGTATCTGGCCATGCCCGACCCTAGCAGTCAAGCAGTGATTCCACCAAGCTTTGGAGCCCAGCCTGAGGTTCTGCCCAAGCCCATGCAGGGAAGCAAACTGGCAACTGCACATATTTGTGGAGCACAACCTCTGGCCCTGCCTGTCCTGAGGAGTCAAGTGGTAACCTCGGCAACCTCAGCCCAAGCTGGAGGCCCTGCGCAATTACAGATTCCAAATAGCAGTGGCACCCAGCCAGGGAATACAACCTGCAATCCTGCCCAATCAGAAGTGATCGCAGAGCCCAGCCAGTGGTCTCACCAGACCATGGAACACAGCCAGTAGCCCTACCCAACCTTGAAGCACAGGCAGCAGCCCAGCTAGAGAACCTGACACCAAGGTCTCCCTGCCTATGGTCACTACCAAGTGGCCCATCCAGAATCCCAGACTAAATAATGAAATGTCTTTTGCTTTTCCTACTGTTAAATAAAAGTTTGAATGAAATTATTCTGTAACATATAAATGTAAGAAAAAGACAATATTTCTATGTAAACAGACTGTTAAAGTAATTTCAGATGTTTATAAAACTAAATTAATAAATTAAATATTACATATATGTTAGTGTTTCATCTATTTCCCTACAAGTTTATAATTCAAAATGGATCTGTTCATTGGAAATACAAGGAAGATTGTTTTATATTCAGGATTGTTTTATATTTGGAATTATGAACTGCCAGGATCATTCAAAGACACAGTAGATCTGATGATCTTCAGGCCTAAAATAACTGACTCTCCTCCAGGATTTAAAAAAGTAGTTGAAAATCTAATTCTTAGCAAATCTGTCTCAAAAGAAAACTAAACTTTATAATTAAATATCACATAAAAATTGAGTTGAGGCAATTTTATTTATTTCAGAAAAAATCTCTTAAGGAACGAAGGGATATTAGGGGCTACTGCCAACTCCTTCATCTTACTGATGAAATGAAGAACATGAGGCTCAAAGAGGCTAAATGACTTATCCAAGATCATATGGCATGAGGGCTTACCATACTTAGTGCTTTTCATGAATTATTTCTTAGTCCCCAGAATAACCCTATGTCCCCACTTTACAACTGATTTAGAGAGGTTAAGCAACCTGCTCAAACCAGTCAATAATAATTGCAATAATTGCTCTACTCAGCCAATAATACATGGCAGAGCTGAGATTCCATTCAAGTCTCTAGCTTCAGAGCCAGAGATCTTAACCACTTTGTTAGACAGGTCTTCAGCTCCTCACCAAGAGCACTCTGCCTGGAATCACAGGGTTTAAAAATACGTTTAGCCAGGTTTGGAATTTCTAAACTAACTTAATTGGAACAGAAGAAAATATCATTAGAAATTAGCAAAAACATTGAAAAAATAAGAGAAAAAGACAAGGGAAAGAGAATAGATCTGACATTATTTGAAAGTTTATAAAAGCATCTAATACAGAAGGCATGGGCTATTCAAAGGAAGCCAATTTTACCTTGTTAATTCTCTCAGTCGAGTCACCTCGGCATCACGCTGACGTAATGTTATTCCCAATATCTGATTTTCCTTTTCAGCAGTTTCTAACTTAAACTGGGAGCTTTTCACATTGACTAAGGCTTCCTCCAACTCTGAAACAACAAAAATGCTTCAGTTTCCTTCCTCCCTTTAAAAAATGTGACCATGTAACTACTATCTAAATACATACCAATGTTTATTCTTGTTATCTCCATGTCAAATTGCTGTTTATTTTCAAGTATAGTTTGCTCTTTGTCTTTAAATATATTACTAAATTTTTTGTTTTCATTCTTCTGATTTTCAATCACTTTTAAGAGCTCTTCATTTTTACTCTGTAGTAATTCCTGACTCTTTAGTGACTCCTGCAATTGATTTTGCAGTGACATGTTCAATGACTGAAGAGAAAATACTGTAAGACAAAACAGATCAAATAGTTGTTTCCCAATTTAAAAAGTACAGACTTAGAAAATACTGTTTCTAAAAAAACAAAAGCCTGGAATTTATTGATTGTGCTCAACAATTATATGCATCAGTAGTTCTACATAAATGCTACAGATATTTAAAGAAATTGATTGGTAGAAGTCATGCCATTCTCCAAATGATATTTTAGGCATTAAATTTTTTTTCTTACCTTTTTTAATGAAATAATAATATACATCTACAAAGTAAAAAAATTCAAACACCATAAAATACCAGTGATACCAAATGGTTCTCAGTGAAGAATCTCCCTCCCACTCCACCTCCCCTCTTCCCCCAGTGACAATCACTATTAATTTTGGTATCTTTCTGGAAAACACTTTTACATATAGTATTAATATTTTATAAAAATATAAAAAACATAATATATATACAGTTTCTCACTTTTTCTTTTTTTCATAAGACTGTTATGTATCAGCACATAGATCTATCACATTATTTTTCATGGCTGTAAAAGTACAGGGCCTGAGAAACCCAGCCTGAGAAACATAGTGAGACCTCCATCTCTACAAAAATAAAAATAAAAAAATTAGCCAGGCATGGTGATGCACACCTGCAGTCCTGGCTACTTGGGAGGCTGAGGCAGGAGAATCCCTTACGACCAGGAGCTCAAGGCTACAGTGAGCTGTGATTGCACCACTGCACTCCATTCTGTGCAACAGAGCAAGACCCTGTCTCAAAAAAAAAAAAAAGAAAAAAAAATATATATATACAGGGCACTATTTATTTAGCAAATACAGCCTTCAGTGAATGCTTGCCATGTGTGAGGCACTGTATTAGAATCACACAGGTGAACAACACAGACATGGCTGCCCTCACAGAGCTGATAACAAACAAGTATTATAAATAGTAATAAATGCTCTTAAAGAAACAATAAGGTAAATGAACGAAAAATAAAGAGAGAAGCTACTTAGAGTGGCAACCATTGATCTCCCCATTTGCCCTCTTGGCCTCTTCTTCCCCTGCCCATCCTTTGTTCAAAGTGGAACCAGAGTGATATTTTCTGAAGTAACTCTGGTGATATTGAACACTTTTATGAAGTGCCCATTCTGTTGGGTGCTCATATTTTTTTATTACTTTGGAAGAGATACTTACATATTAAGAAAATTAAGCCTTTTTCATGTCATGTATTTTAAAAATTTCCCATTTTGTTGATTCTTTTTTAGTGTATTTATAATTTTCCTATGTGGAAATTGAAAAAATTTCATGGGGACATATTTTATCAATCTGTTACTCTGTGGCATCTGAGTTTTTGTCAGGTTTAAGAAAAGCTCCCAAAAATACCAAAAAGAAAAAAAAGAAAAAGAAAAAAAGTTCTTATTTTTTCTTCTAGAACTATTTGTTTTTTTCTTCATTAAGCTCTGTGATCCATAAGGACAATCTGGCAGTATCTGTCACTATTGCAACTGTATATACCCTTTGGCTCAGCAATTCTACTGCAATAAATCTATCCTACAAAATTGCTCACATATGTGCACAAAGGCAAGTACAAAGATTTTCATTGCAGTGCTGTTTGCATTGGGAAAAAAGGGGAAAGTACCTAGTTAGCTATCAGCAGAGGACCTTAAATATATTATGGTAAAACTGCATAAGCAGAATACCCAAGTAGTTCTTAAAGAGAAAGAAGCATATTTACATATTTTGAATAGACAAAAATGCCCACTATGTTAAGTGAATAAATGCAAGCCATGGAAGTGTATATACAGTATGATCTCATTTTCAAAAATGGAAAGAGTATATATATAGTTCTATTTGCGTCTGGCTCATAGTAGGTATTTGGTGAGTATTTGTGAAATAAATCAATTATATATGAACAGAAGATAATAAAAGCAAACACACCCCTTTTTTAAAAATTGGGGTATATTACTGGGAAGTGAGATCATGGATCTTTTATTTTTCTATGTTTCTGTACTATTTTAAATTTTAATAAGGAGTATTATTTCTTGAGAAAAGAAAATCCACTTATACAAAATAATTAAGAAAGTTCAATTCTTTAACATTTTCAGCGCCACAATGAATTTAACATCAATCCTTACAGTTCTTTTACCTACATTCAAGGTTGCATTCCACAGTACCAGATGCCTTATGAGTTTTTTCTTGTTCTCTAAGTCGCTGGTTCAAAATTCTCAGTTGCCTAAAGGAAATAATGAAGAACTATGAACACAAGACTCCCAAGTCCGCTTAACAGTATACATGTGACAGCCTATCAAAAAGGAGAAAACACAGTGATACCCACTGCTCATTAGGAAAGCAGAAGTCCATCTGATCCCCAAGACAAAAGACAAAAACTAAATAAACAAAAAACAACAAAATCACACTACTATTATTATGGGGCCTAAGATAATTTTTAAAAGATTGCCTGAGACAGCATAAAACCCCCCCTCACCAGAAAAAGGTTAACTTCTCTTTTTTTGTTCTCTTTTCTATGATTTCTTTGTGTTTTTCTATTTCTTTCCTTTCCTATCTCCTCTTGCTATTTTCTTCTTCTGTCTTCTTTCTGTGTATCTTCATTACTGTAGTTAACTATCTACTTTTTAAAAGATCTGTCATCACTATGACCTAGAATACAGGCACTGAATGCTATCAGACATCTATCTGCTTGATGTTTGTCACATGCGCAAATCTACACATCTAGTAATTTCTTTATTAGATGGAAAAGTTAATGTGCTTACTTAAGTAACAAGAATGTTAAAAGTTGCCAGTTTGCCCTACAATGAACTGTACTACATGTAGTTGCTTCACAAATAGAAACATAACAAAAGTGTCCTCTTTACCTCTAAGAAGTAATTGCTTAGAGAAAAAAAAAGTTCTCTATTATCCTTCCAGAATTAATTACCTGAAAATATTTTGCCTTAAAGTATTTATTTGTTACTGAATCTAAAATGATATACCCTATCTTGTATCATTCACATGTACTAATTCTGGATTGATTAAAGTGCTAAACATAAAATATACAAACAAAACCCAACTATACAAATTTTAGGGTGTAACCTACCTAATCTTGAAATGGGGAAAGCATTCCTAAGAAAAACTCAAAATCCAGCAACCATCAAGGAAAAGAAAGAAAGATTTAACTACACGAAAATCTGAAACTTGTTCTAGAATTAACAGCCTGAAGAAAAATACCTGCCACAGATATAACAGATGAGGGGTCCATAACATTTAAAGAGCTCCTATAAATCAGTAAGAAAGGCAACTCAGTAAAAAATGACAAAGGATAACAACAAGCAGTTCACATAAAAAATAGAAATGGCCTATAAGCATATAATAAAATGCTAAGCTTCACTAATAGGAAGAATTGCAAATTTAAAGAAAAATATTTTTTTGACCATGGGATTAACAAAAAACCAAACAAACAAAAAACACCAAGACACAAAATAACACTTGTTGATGATAGTATAGGGAAATGAATTATCTCAATTGGTGGGAGTCTATTGGTATAATAATTTTGGACAGCAATTTAAAATATCCAACAAAAAGTAAAATGTTCATAATTTTTGACGAAATTATTCTACCTCTAGGTTATAGTGTCAGAAATAGTTGTACATGGGCAAAAGCATCTACAACCTTGTAAATATATACAAGGATGTTTATAACAGCAACTATTTAATAGTGAGAAGTTGGAAACAACTTAAAATGCTACATAAATTATGGTACATCCTTATGTGAAATACTAACACAGTTATTAAAAAGAATGAGACATCTATATGTACTGACATGAAAAGATCGCCAAGACACATTATGAAGTGAAACAAGCAAGCTGCAGAACACTAGTATAATATGAGCTTGCTTTTGTTATAATAAAACTCTGATTTTTCTCACCCTTTATAAGAAAGAGTGCAGATCTAGAAAAGGCAGCACAGACTAGTGACCCAGAACTCCAACTGTAAGGCTTCTTCTGGTATCTTACCAAAAACAGCAGATGCCCAATGTCCTCCTACACAGAAGTGTGTGACAGAAGCTTTGCCTGACAATCTTTTTGTATGTCCCTGGTCAGATTCTTCTCTTCCCAAATGTAGCCAATCTAAACTTTTCATAAGTCATTGCAAGCCTCTCATTCCTACCTTCCTCCTCTCAGTTGGATACGTTCCTATGTTCATTAAAAACAATGTGGTTTGGGGACAAACTCTGTTATCCTTTGGTCCCAGGGTGTATCTGTGTTTCTAACCCTCATTTCTTCTGTAGTCTGAGTGAGTAGCCTCATCTACCCCCTGGATCTCATCTCCTCCTAGAACCCTCAAGGACTCCTGCTTCTGTCCCACTCCCTTTATCTTCTTCTATATCTGCACCTTCTCCCTCTTTGCCAGTTCATGTGGCTGAGGCAAGAAGCATACTAAAACTCCTCCCATATTTAGGAAAACACTCTCTCCAACCTAACCGTACAACTAGCTACTCTCCTCTCTCATTCCCACCTTTCAGGGCCAGGCTTTTAAAAAATAATTATTCTATTAAAAAATGATACATGAGGCTAGGTGTGGTGGTGCATGCCTATGCAGGAGGATCACTTGAGCCC